GCCGGCTAGGGAAGGGCGGGCGACTGCGTAGCTAGGGCAGGCGCGAGGCGCGCTTCGGGCAGGGCAGGAAAAAGTTCGTGGTGGGCCCTAAAAAAAAACGTTCCCACTAGGGAACCTGCTCAGAATACCATGTTAGAATATGGAACGAATGAATGAACTAGAAAACAGGTGGGTACAAGTAGGAAACCTAAAAGTGTTGTACCCTATAAGAACTACCCCACTACAGCCTAAACAGACTATAGCATATAAGTTTGACACGTCGTTCTGCACTACATTATTTGTCCTTCATTACACGTTTGCACCGTCCCTCTGATACATATGATGTGGTTGGTAGGCGATCCTCCTCGATTGGGTAGCTATCATAGCACGGTACAGCCTCCGACCTCTACTGGTTGTAGCCCATACGTATTGTGGACGCCCATTTTCCCATCCCGTTCGTTTTCTCATACGTTCTCACATTTGTTTTCACCGTGTTTTCTTTCTTTCTTTCTTTCGTTCTTCCTTTCTTTTTTTTTGTTGTTTTTTCTTCTTCTTTTCTTTTTACTCTTTGTTTTCGTATTCTTTCTCCTTTGTTTCCTTTGTTTCCAATATGTGTTTGTTGTTACTCATTTTGTGCATCTATCTGTATTTCTTGCCCCCTCTTTTTATACGAGATAGTTGCTTCCAGTATATAATGTTCAACCTCATCGATTCTATGCACATAAGGAGCTCCAAGGAGCGTGTATCTCCCTTGAGCGCGGACGCAGGAGCTCCAAGGAGCTGTGGGGAGCGGAAAAACCCCTTGGAAATAGAAGCGAGAACTCCTTTGAGCGACAGACATGGGAGCTACTTTGAGCAACGGACACGGCGCAGGAGGCCGACATGGGGTGGCGGAGGCACAGCTGCTCCAAGGGGGCTGCCAAGGAGCAGCTGTCAGAATGTCATATTTGTCTAGCCTGCAGTGGGGTACTCAATAGTGAGTACAGTCCAACTTAGGGTTTGCTATATGTACTCAACTGCTTGCTAGTTCAAACCCTCTTTCTCGTTTCTAACTTCCTTTGGTTTCCAACATGGAATCAGAGCAGGTCGACCCTCACGGGTTGATCCTGTGTATGGGCCCACCAAGACTTCCGCTGTCATCACTGCCTATCACGCGCCTCGGGCGCGCGCTGCCTTTCTGCTTGCCACGCGCCCGTGGCGCACGGCAATTTTTCTTCCCGCCGCGCGCCCTCAGCGCGCGGCGGTTTTCTGCCCGTCGCGCGCCCCGAGGCGCGCGACGGTGCTCTGCCTACCTGCCTGCCTGCCCGTCGTGCGCCCCGTGGCGCGCGACGGTGCCCTGCCTGCCCGTCGTGCGCTCCGAGGCGTGCGGCGGCTTCGTCGCCTGTCGAGGCGCACCGGGGGCCCGCGCACCCCCCCCCCCCCCCCCCCCCCGCCTTTTCCCGTCGCCCGTCACGGCGCCTTGGGGGGACCGCGCGTCGGCCCCTCCCGTCTTCGTTGCGGCCCGGCCCTGCCCTGCCGTCCTGCCCCGGCCCTTTCCCGGCCCTGCCCGGCCCTGCCGTTCTACCCCGGCCCTGTCCCGGCCCTGCTTTGCCCGGCCCTGCCGTCCTGCCCCGGCCCTGTCCCGGCCCTTCCCTGCCCGGCCCTGCCCCTGTCTTCGTCGCGGCCCTGCCCAGCTGCCGCCCCTGCTGCTGCCCTACCCTGTGTTGGGGTTTGGGGGTGGCGAGTATGGGGGTGACGGATGTGTGCGGTCTCCCCTACTCCTCCTCCTCCTCTGTCTCCCACTGCTGCAGCTGCCGCTGAGGGGGGTGGGTGTGTGGGAGACGATGGGGTGGCACTAGGGGGGTGTGTCGTGTGGGAGTGAAACTAGGGGTGCAGCGGGGGGTGTGTGAAAGGGGGGTGCGACAGTGGGGGAGGGTGAAGGGAAGTAGCTGTCGTGTTGCCAGCAGTGCCAGTAGTCCGGAGGTGCTCTTCCGGTAGCCCAGTGATGCTGCTGCGCCAGTCGCCCGTGGGTCCGTTGCTCCTGCCGCTCGTCTTAGCCGCGGAGCCAGTTACTCCTGTAGTCCGGAGGTGCGCCTCCGGTAGCCACAGTGCGCGCCGCTCCTGTTGCCCGTGTGTCTGCAGCTTCAGCCGCTGCCTCCTCTCTCCTTTGTTATCAGTCCAGCCTCCTCCTCCTCACTTGCCCTCTGTGATAGCCTCTAGCTTTACTTATTGCTGTGAACTATAAACTGTTGCTTCTTGTACTTGTGCTCAGAATGTGTGGTGACTTTGTGATCCACCCTGAGCTTGTTTTGCTTTGCTTGTTGTGCTGATTACACCCCACTTTGGCTATGGGGGTGTGTCACAATGTCATATTTGTCTAGCCTGCAGTGGGGTACTCAATAGTGAGTACAGCCCAACTTAGGGTTTGCTATATGTACTCAACTGCTTGCTAGTTCAAACCCTCTTTCTCGTTTCTAACTTCCTTTGGTTTCCAACAGCAGCTACCGCAAGGGAGCAGCCAAGGAGGATCTGCTGTAAGACAATTCAACCCCGTCTTTTACGAATAAAGATCAACAGCAAAATAAATAAGATAGTATAGAAGGCTCTTAAGTTAGTTAGCAAGTTGTCAGGTACCTAGGGCGAGAAGTACAGTACTGGGTTGTGTGTATTCTCAAGTAGTTATTTATTTGTAAAGGAAGTACAATTAGAAGCAAAATATAAGCATTTTTCCAAAATTCGAAATCTTGGCATGACCACTGCTCTAGGAGGACAATGTACACACATATTTACATGTATATATACATATATATACACATATATATATACAAATTAGTAGGGACGAGGAGATGGAAAGCAGAGGAAGAAAGGATCAAGGAGTGGAAAGAGGTAGTAGGGAAAAGTAGAGAGTCATAAGAAGACAACAGAAGAGAAGGTCGGAAGAGTAGAGGAGAGAGGGAGAGATACTAAGGACAGGTAGCAGAAGCTAACCAAACAAGGCAGCAACTTGCACAGCAACGCGGGCACAACGTTCCAAGCAGCACCACGAAACCACATCTATATATGCATCATACGTTTATTGCATATATGCTATGCTCTCAAAGCACCCTGTGATATGGTGCCAGGTACCCTGCCTCGCAGCTAGTGGGGTGCCGGCATCCACCTATCGTCGGATCCCCCCAACTGCCGCACCACATGCTACGTGATACTCTGAGCCATCGCACGCTGCATTGCCACGGAGAGACATGTAGTAATTCCTGTCTCGAATACCTGTGCCGATCCATCATCCCCCCCTCCCAAGTCCCGCCTCAACTGTGCCACGTAGAGCCTCAAAACTATCGCGTAAGTTCGCCCAATAGCCCAAAGGTCTCAACCACATATGCGATAAACTGTGGTGCTGGCTGCAACCACCCTAGGTGCGCTCCTCTGTGACGCAACTCTCCTGCACCCACTCCAATCTGTATGGGGGTCGACCGTATGGGCTTCACGTTCCTCTCTTGCTGTGGACCCATTAGGGAGACATCCACAAGGACCATTGAACTCTGCCCAACATCGCAGCAAGTGAGGTTTGGGATGCGGAGAGAACCCAACTAGATGGTGCTCCCGAAGAGCCACGCGGGGCTGTGAAAACGGCGCGATGTAGGTGATCCACCGAGAGCACGAGAGTAGTAGATTGGAAGCCTAATAGCCAACCTGTGGTCGGCCTCAACGCGTTGGGGTACTTTGTCTGCAGGCGATGTAACGTCCCCTCTATATCTGGGGTCGCCTCCGCGAACTCAAGAGCCGCGCAGGCCCGTGAGGTTGCACGCTGCCTGATGAAGGCAATGTGCAATATGACGCTTATCTGCGATGGACTGGGTGGTAGGGAGACGTGCGCGATGGGATGTGCGTCGAGGAAGAGGGGTGCAACAGATCAACGCATAAAGAAGTAGCTGGGTCCACTCACCTTGCATGAGGAGACGCGTGCTGCGATGGCAGTCGTGTGCGAGCGGTCCAACGGGGTTGCCAATGTCAGGAGAAGTGTGGGTGCAGCAGCGAGGAGGAAGGTAGGGCCTCCGCCTCAGAAATATACGGGCTAAGAACATGTAGAGAGCGTAAAGATATCCTCCGCAGACCTTAGGCGGAATGCATCGGATTGGACAGGTGTGGGTGCGCTCCGATGAGAAATACCCCGACCAATCGAAGGAGTCCAGCATCTGCCACTGTGCATCGATGAAATGCGTCCTTGTCCCCTGTGGCTCCAGTAGGGATGGGAGGATAGATGCGATGTCGTGGAGGGCCTGTGCCCTGCGAGCCGCGTCTGCAGGATGGCAGAAGGGAGTGTGGTGCTGAAGCGCGCGTAGGTTCGCGAGACAGCTCCTGCAGGTGGGGCATCTCACGACCTGATCGGGTGATGTCGCTGTGTTGTTGGGGTCAGTCAGGGCCGTGGCGTCGGAACTGGCATAGAGGGGACCCCATGGCCGACCCAAGCTCTAAGAGGATCGCCAAAGATAAGAGTAGGAGAGGACTCACCGGCCATGTGCAAGCAAGGTGTCAACGGAGATGGAAGTCGTGCCACACTGAATAAGGTCGGGGCAGGGATCGAACCTCGTGGCAGTACTGGCCCCAAAGCCTGGGAGAGGGGACGTGGGGGTGAGCCTGAAGTGTGAGCTGTGGTGTGCCCCTCTCCCTCGGCGAGGTGGGGTCCAAGTGGCCGACCCGTTACCCTGATGCGGGTACCGTCCTGCGCTACGGGTAGTGTGTTGGCATTAGGCTAAGTTGGGGGAGGCACCACCACATCTGGGTGTGAATGACATGACCTCTGAACCAGGTCTGTCTCCATTAGGGATGGGAGTGACGAGCCTAGCTGTGTAGGTGGGGGGGGGGGGGGGGGGGGGTGGGATTGAGAGGAGGGGCAGCATGAGTGGCACCCGTATATGCCTGGATTTGGACCTGTGGGACTGGTAGGGTGGGAGCGAATGAAGAGCTGCTGGGGCTCTTAATAAGCAGCACCATCGGCCTCCATCCCGGCAGTGCACGCTGCAGCCGCCACCTAGGGGGGGGGGTTAGAGGAAGGGAGAGGCGGCCCAGGGGTGAGTGGGCTGGTTCGCTCCCATGGCTCTGTAGAGGGGCGGGCACGGGAGGGGAGTGTGAGTTCGGTGGTTGGCCTGTAGGGGTAGGGCCTGGTGCAGGTTGAACGAGATGTGGGTGAGGAGGGGCGCCTGTAGGGGAAGGGAGGGAAGGGGGAGTAGGTGACCTGGCCTCTTGCTGCCTTTGCCCTTGTAGGTGGGGGGGGGGGAATTGAGAGGAGGGGCAGCATGAGTGGCACCCGTATATGCCTGGATTTGGACTTGTGGGACTGGTAGGGTGGGAGCGGATGAAGATCTGCTGGGGCTCTTAATAAGCAGCACCATCGGCCTCCATCCCGGCAGTGCACGCTGCAGCCGCCACCTAGGGGGGGGGTTTAGAGGAAGGGAGAGGCGGCCCGGGGGTGAGTGGGCTGGTTCGCTCCCATGGCCCTGTAGAGGGGCGGGCACAAGAGGGGAGTGTGAGTTCGGTGGTTGGCCTGTAGGGGTAGGGCCTGGTGCAAGTTGAACGAGATGTGGGTGAGGAGGGGCGCCTGTAGGGGAAGGGAGGGAAGGGGGAGTAGGTGACCTGGCCTCTTGCCGCCTTTGCCCTTGTTCTTCCGTCGGCGGCCAACCTGGTTTTGGTTCTCCATGCCTGGTTGTGAGGGAAGAGGGGGCTGAGAGGCCAAGGAGGTGGGTGAGGGGAGGATGGATGGTTGGCCAGGCGGGGGGAGCCCTGTGTGCACCCCCTCCCTCCCCATGACATCACCCTCCGTGGGGTTAGGCCGGGTGGGCTGTGCGGGGAGGACGATGGTTGGCCAACGGGGCCATTCGTGGGGAAGCGGGCCGAAAGAGGAGATTGTGGGTGGAGGCCAAAGGGCTAGAGCGATTAAGAGGTTAGAGCGTGGTGCATGCGGTGGAGGGCGTATGGTCTGTGGTAGCTGCATGGTGTAAGGGAGTTGGGGAAAGAAAGGGGACGGATGTTCAGAAGTGGTGCCCCCGTGCTGTAAGTTGGGGTCAGAGCCCCTCCCACTGGTGGCCTCTCTTGTGGGCCCCTCGGCCAGGGTGTCATTCCCCCATGAGCTAGGGGTAGGGGCCATTGCGGGTAGGTCTTGGCTGCTTGGTGCGGAGGGTGTGAAAGAGGGCCGCTTGCTGGGTGAATGGTGTGGAGCTTTGCAACAATTTGGGTGATTTGGGTGTATGTAGGGTGTGGGGCGATGCTGGGATGGAGGGGGATGCGGCTGGGGTGAGGCTTGGAACTCTGAAATGTGTATAACCCCGGGCGGGAGAGGACCTGGTGGGCGGGGAGGTAATAGGCTGGCAAGAGATGATTGGGTGGTGTTAGGGGGCGGGGAGCATGGCTCCGCTAGGAAGGTCACGCCCTGGCTACTCCCCGTGGTGCTCGGAGGAGCCCGTGAGGGTGGGGACAGGAGTGTGCTGCTCTTGGGGACGATGGAAGGGGTGGGGAGGGGTGAGAGGCGGGACTGTGAGTGCCCTTGGGAGGCTGGTGGACCACCTGCAAGCGTGGGGTCAGGCATTGAAGGCCAGGGCCCTGGCTGCCCCTCTTGATGCTAGAAGGTGCCCCTGCAGGTGGGGGCGGGAATGTGGTGCTTCTGGGGGAGGTTGGGCTGAAAGATGGGGGAGTAAGGATGGGAGCGCCTTCGAGAGGCTCTGTCCTCATTGCCTCCTCCAGCCCCTCCATCAGTCCACCTGCCGGCAAGGGGTTGGGTATGGGGGGGGAAGGGAGGACCTCACCATGGGGCTGCAGGGGGGTTGGGTCCGCCTCAGAGGCAAGTGTGCGGTAGGGGCCCAGCGGGCCATTGATGTGCATCAAATCCTTGTGTGCATCCTCTTCTATATGTACCACATCCCCCCCTTCAGAATCCCCACTTACCTCCCCTGTCCTTGCTACCCCTATCCCCCCTGCGCATGCGCCCAATGCTAGCTTGTCACTGCTAGCACCTTCTGCGGCCCCTTCAACTCCCGCTGAGGCCTCTTCAGCCCCCAGCTATAGTCCCATCCGCTGTCTTAGCCGCCTTAGCTGTCCCCTCCCCCGCTGCAGCCCCTGCTGCACCTTCTCCTGCAACAGCCGGGGCTGCACTCTCTCTTGCACCTACCCCTACTTCACCCAGACGCCCTGCAGCCCCCGCATCCCCCTCTCCTGCTGAGGATCCCACTGCTCCCCCCCCTGCTGCCATTACCGCTGCTGCCCTCACTTATGAAGCCTTTCTTACCATAGCACCCCTCCCTGCTGTAGTCACCCCTGATGTAGCCTCCACCACCTCTGCTTTGGCCCGTGCCACCCCTACTGCCTGTGCTGCCTGGCCCATGCTGCCTATGCCTGCAGCCTCATCTCAGCCCCTCTCCCCCACCAAACCAAAAGCTGCCGCCTTTGTAGCGACTTCTGAGGCCCTTTTTGGTGCTTCTGCAGCCCCATCCGCAGCACTTGCCACTCCCGCTGTGGTTCTTGCTGCCCCTTCTTCAGCCTCGACTGCCCAACCTGCAATCCCTGCCGGCCCTGCCGTGGCTTGTGCCACCACTGTTTCCCGTGCTGTTCGGACTGCGTTGCTCAAGCATGCAGCCCTATTCTCTGCAGCTTCTGCAGCTCCACTTGCTGCCATCCCCACCGGCTCAGGAGCTGCCGCCCCAGCGATGGCTCCTGCTGCCCTCCCTACTACCCCCTTCTGCAGCCCTTTCCGCCCCAACCACAGTCTCTGCCTCCCCTGGTCCAGCCTCCACCGCACCTACCACAGCCTTCGCTGCCCTATTTCCTCCGGCGACTCCTGTGCTGTCTTCGGGAGCCTCTGCTGTCCCCTGCAGCCTCTGAGGCCCCTTCCCTTGCAGCCTCTGCGGCCCCTTCCCCTGCAGCCCCTGCTTGCCCTTTCCTCTGCAGCCTCTGCTGCCCCTTCCCATGTAGCCTCTGCTGCCCCTTCCCCTGCAGCCTCTACTGCCCCTTCCTCTGCAGCCTATGCTGTCCCATCCTGTGCAGCCTCTGCTGCCTCTGCTGCCCCTTCCTCCGCAGCCTCTGCTGCCCCTTCCCCTGCAGCCTCTGCTACCCTTTCCTCTGCAGCCTCTACTGCCCCTTCCCCTGCAGCCCCTGCTGCCCCTTCCCCTGCAGCGTCTGCTGCAAGTCCCCCCCCAGCTCTGCCCTCCCCCCCCCTCTATGTTCTTGGGTGTGCGCGCAGGTTTAGATGTTTTTATGTGTTTTTTTGTTCGAGTGTGGGAGACAGTGGGTGAGCTGGAGGACCTCTCCACTGTTCACCATGTCACACCAGGAGAGGTGGGTGATTCGGGTGAATTCTCTGATGCCTCCTAAGCTGTGCCTCCATGGAGGGGGGGTGAACATGAGCGGGTGCCGCCCCTGCTACTACCTGGAAGGAGGGTGGGTTGAGATGGGGCAACCGGGTTGGGGTGGGGTTTTGAGCGTGCTGGTTCCTCCTCATGTGCTCCTACTAATCGGACTTGGTAATCCTGTGTTTCATCTTCTTTCAAGTGCCTGCGCAGCTTGTCAGCGTAGCCCTGCTGATGAAGCCACAGCTTCCTTGCTGGCCTGTCACGCACAATCTCCAGCCCAAGGTACTTGACGACCGGCGAAATCTCGCGCAGCTCGAAGGCAGCCTCCAACAGCTCCTTTAGCTCCTTCAGCATCGCGGGGCTGCTGCTGGCGGCGAGCAGGTCGTTGACGTAGACCAGCACCCAGCAGATTACTCCGTTGTTGCTGGCCTTGAAGTAGAGCGCCTTGTCGACTTGGCTCTTCTTCCAGCCAGCGCCCAGCAGCACAGCGTCGAGTGCCCTGTACCACAGCAACGGCGACTGCTTCAGCCCGTAGAGGCTCTTCACCAGCTTACACACCCGGCCAGTCCCATCATCGCAGTAGTCCGGCTGGTACATGTAGAGCACCCTGTCGAGCTTGCTTTGTAGGAAAGCGTTCTTCATGTCGAGCTGCATCAGGTTGAGGTCGAGGACGGCGACGATGCTGAGGAAGATCCTCAACGTAACGTAGCTGCTCACCGGCGAGTACGTCTCGTCATAATCGGCACCGCACACCTGCGTGAAGCCCTTCACGACCAGCCTCGCCTTCTCGCGTTTGACGGTGTCGTTGATGCGGTACTTGGTCGTCAGCACCCACCGGTACTTCATGATGTTCACCCCACGTGGGCGTGTCAGAATGTTATAGTGCTTACATTTATGTAGGCTATAGTGGGGTAGCCCATAAGGGGTACAACCTAATTAGGGTTAGTACTTGTACCCAACTCTTTCATAGTTCATTCATTCTCGTTCATTATTCTGACATGGTTTCAGAGCAGGTCGTTCGCTAGGACCGTTTTTTTTTTTCCTTGGGCCCACCACAGCGCTACCCCGCTAGCCGCCCTCTGCAGCCCTCGTGCTGCCCCTACTGCCCGTCGCGACCCGTCGACCCCTAGGCCAGGCCCCTGGGCACCGGCCCATAGCCCATCGCCCGTAGGCCTGTCGCAACTAGGCCCGTCGCCTTGGCTCGTCGCCCCAACCCGTCGACACCCAGCCCATCGCCCTAGGCCCGTCAACCCGGCCCGTTGCCCCTAGGCCCGTCGCCCTAGGCCTGTCGCCCTGGCCCGTCGCCCCTAGGCCGGCCCGTCGCCCCCCCCCCCCCCCCCCCTAGCCCGGCTCGTCGCCCCTAGGCACGACGCCCCGGCCCGTCGCCCCTCGGCCCGTCGCCTCTAGGCCGGCCCGTCGCCCCTAGCCCGGCTCGTAGGCCCGTCGCCCCTAGCCCGGCCCGTCGCCACTAGGCCCGTCGCCCCGGCCCGTCGCCCCTAGGCCCGTCGCCCCGGCCCGTCGCCCCTAGGCCTGTCGCCCCTAGGCACGCCCGTCGCCCCTAGCCCGGCCCGTAGGCCCGTCGCCCCTAGCCCGGCCCGTCGCCCCTAGCCCGGCCAGTCGCCCCTAGCCCACGCGCCCCAGCCCGCCGCCTGATGCTTCTACGCCCGCGACTGACGCCCCTAAGCCCCGGCCCGTCACCCGACGCCCCTAGGCCCGCGCCCGTCGCCACTAGCACCGGCCCGTCGCCCGACTTCCCTACGCCCCGGCCCCTGCCCCGGCCTTGTCGCCCCTAGGCCCGCGCCCCTAGGCCCGTCGCCCCTAGGCCGGCCCGTCGCCCCTAGCCCGGCCCGTAGGCCCGTCGCCCCTACGCTCCGGCCTGTCGCCCAACACCCCTAGGCCCATGCCCGTCACCCCTAGTCCCGGCCCTTCGCCCGACTCCCTTAGGCCCCAGCCCGACGCCCCTAGGCCCGACTCCCCTAGGCCCCGGACCGACTCCCCTAGGCCCCGGCCCGTCGCCACTAGGCCCGTCGCCCCTAGGCCTGTCGCTCCTAGGCCCCGGCCTGACAGTCGACCACAGGCCCCGCGAGCCGCCCCTTCTCCCCGCTCTGCGTGCTGCACCGCTATGGCTTTGCTTCGTGTTCTCGCATTCGATCATGAGGGCAGACCGATTCAGTTTGACACGTGGCTCGACGACCTGCAGCTGTACCTACTGTGCGACTCTAGGGACAGTGTTTAGTTGTTTGACCACACGTCTGACGCCGCTCCCGCCCCTCCTGCCACAGCTCACAGTGCGACTCGCTCACAGTGGCTAACTCGCGACGCTGCTGCCTGCTTAGCCATTCGCAACCACGTGCCGTTAGCCGAATGCGCTCACTTCAGACAGCACAAGACAACACAGGACAGCACAGGCACTGTACGACGCTGTCGTCGCTCCCTACTCCTCGCCTGCCACTGCTGCTCTAGGCCGCCTGCTACTGCCCTACCTGTTCCCCGAGTTGTCCGCCTTTGCCACAGTCGAGGACCTGGTTTCCCACCTTCGCGTTAGCGACGCTCGCTACCGCGCTGCCGCCCCCACTGAGTTCCTTGACAGGAACCAGCCCTCGATGTTCATCACTCTCTACATTATAGTCACCCGCATCCCTGACTCTCTTCGCTATGTCAGGGACAACTTTCTCTCCCTTGACCCCGCAGTCCTTACTGTTGACCTACTCGAGCAGCACCTCCTTGCAGCTGAGACTAGTGTAGTCGCTGTAGGTGCTGCTCGTGGCACTCCGCGCACGCCCTACTTTGAGGGGTGCTCCCCCTCCCCCCTTGCCCCCTCCTACACCTCTGCTGCTGCTGTTGACATCCTTGGTGCTGAGGATGTCGGGGCTGCTTCTGCTAGCGCGAAGCACCGCAGCAGCAAGGGCAAGGGTGGCAGGGGTGGTGGAGGTGGCAGCGGGAGTGGTGGTGGGGGCAGCAGTGGAGGTAGTGGAGGCAGTGGAGGTGGTGGCAGCGGTGGGAGTGGTGGCGGGAGTGGGGGCCTTGGTGGCGGCGGTGGAGGCAGTGGTGGGAGTGGCGGTAGTGGCAGCGGTGGGAGTGGTGGCGGTAGCACTGGAGCTCAGCGTGGAGGTTCTGGAGGAGGCCAGAGGCAACGGCAGCAGCGTCGGAGCAAGAACCCGTCGCCCCAGCAGCTTCATGAGTGGTTGTTTCAGCGTGGGGTGTCTTGGGGTAGTGGTAGCTGCCCGTATGTCATTCGCACGGGTGACCGTGCTGGTCAGACATGCGGGAAGCCTCACAATCAGCACCGCTGCTTCTCCCGCCTCGATGACGCTTGGCGTGCTGAGTTTGGTGACGAGGTCGAGCGCCCTCACTGGGCAGAGCTGCTTAGGTCTAGAGTTGCGATCTTTGACCTAGACTATGATGCTATTCTTTCTGCTATGTATGCTTTGTCTGTTAGTGCTGAGGGTGACTGTTATCGGTGTGTGCCGCCTGACCCATGTATAGAGGCTGCTGCTCTAGGTGCTAGTGAGTCTTCTCTCCCTGATACTGCACATGCTGAGGCCTTGCACACCTTCACGCTGGACTCAGGTGCGTCACGCTGTTTCTTTCGTGACAACACCACCCTCACTCCTCTCCCTACACCTGTCGTGGTCAGACTGGCTGACCCCTCCGGGGGCCCAGTCGTTTCCCGTTCCTCCACTGTTCTCCCGTGTCGAGCGGTTCCGTCCAGCTCACTGTCAGGTCTTCACCTCCCCTTGTTCTCTACGAACTTGGTGAGTACCGCTGCCCTCCAGGATTCAATGGTCACTACCACCACTCCTGGGGGTCAGCGTGTGTCGATCTGCACGTGTACACGGACGGGTCGTCACCTGGCCACGTACACTCGTCGGCCAGGGTCGAGTCTGTACACACTAGCTACCGAGCCTCCTCAGGTAGCTGCGTCTGCCCAGGTGTCCGCGTCAAGTCAGGTAGCACCCCCTTGCTCGTGTCGCCTCCTGTCGCACCAGACTCTCCTCTGGCACCACCGCCTTGGACACCCCTCCCTGCCACGCCTGCGTGGCATGCACTCCCGCCTCCTTGTCTCTGGTCTTCCCAGGTCTCTCCCTCCCCTCCCCCCCTCGCCGGCCCCGCTCTGCCTTCCTTGCGTCGAGGGGCGGCAGCGCGCCGCTCCTCACTCCTCCTCGTTTCCCCCGACGACTGCTCCCGTGCAGACTCTCCACGTGGACGTGTGGGGCCCAGCCCGCGTCACTGGACAGGGCCGCGAGCGCTACTTTCTGCTGGTAGTTGACGACTATACGCGGTACACCACGGTCTTCCCCTTGCGCAGCAAGGGTCAGGTCGTTGATGTCTTGATCCCTTGGATCCGTGCAGTACGCCTCCAGCTCCGCGAGTGTTTCCACCAGGATCTTCCTGTCCTGCGTTTGCACTCTGACCGAGGTGGAGAGTTCTCCTCCGACCTCTTGCGGGAATTTTGTCGTGGGGAGGGAATTCTCCATTCGTTCACGCTTCCGGCCTCATCGCAGCAAAATGGGATTGCTGAGCGCCGCATTGGCTTAGTCATGGAGGTCGCTCGTACCTCCATGATCCATGCAGCTGCTCCCCATTTTCTGTGGCCGTTTGCGGTCCGGTATGCTGCGCATCAGCTCAACCTCTGGCCCCGTGTCTCCTTGCCGGAAATCTCGCCCACACTGCGTTGGACGGGGGAGGTTGGCGATGCGTCGGTGTTCCGGGTCTGTGGCTCTCGTACCTTTGTTTGCGATACGTCCGCGGACAAGCTCTCCGCCCGTGCTATCCCCTGCGTCTTCCTTGGCTTTCCCCCTGATGCGCCTGGCTGGCAGTTTTACCACCCCACCTCGCGCGGTGTCTTTTCCTCTTTGGACGTCACGTTTGACGTGTCGGTTCCCTTTTACCGTCTCTTCCCCTACCGCTCTGCCCCTCCCCCGCCCCCGCCGCTCTTCCTGGCTCCCGGTCCCCCTCTAGTAGACCCCCTCCTGCCCCAGGGTCCTGCTCCCTCAGGTGTGTCTCAGGTAGACCCTCTCCCTGGTACTCTGCCTGTTGAGGTAGCTAGCGACTCAGGTGCTGCTCGAGGTGCTGCGTCTGGGGGTGCGGAGCCTGGGTGTGTTGAGCCTGAGGGTGTTGAGCCTAGG